AAAGGTTCTCAAGTCATCTTTTTAACCTGCTAAGGTTGACCCTATTCTGTCCCATTACAGACTTACGAATTGGGTTCAGCTCAGGGGATCACATCACTAAAAGCGTACCTCGGAACTTGTATCCGGATAGATAACTTAGGGTGCTTTCCAGAGAAACTTTGTCAGACCCACACAAGGAAGCCCAATACTCCTCGTGAGGTGTGACGTTTCTCTCTACTTAGGTAAACCGGGTTTGAGCTCTGTTTAGAGCTATAATATGAAATAATTCTAAATATTTCAAAGAAGTGTAAGCATTAATCAAAGAGAAAATTTTTTTTCCTTTTTGAAATAACATAATGAACTGTAAATTAAACAAAATCGAACTCGTAATTTCCAAAATAATAAATATAGGATAACCAACTCGTGGCTCGACTCTCAATTTGTTTTAAAAAATAAAAGTCCACAGTGGAGTCGCCAAGCTGTCGTCACTGTTTTTGCCTGGGCGGGGAAAAGCGATACTGACTTGGGGGTTTTCTATTTGAAAAGGTTTCGAGAATTTGAGGAGTCGCCACCAATCATTTAAGGTGCGATTAGACGCCATAAAAACTGAGTGATTTTAATAAAACATTTTATTTTTATCAAAATGTCGAGTTTTGGGGTCTGCAAAAATCCAAAAATTAGGTTCGGGAATCGGTTACGCGTGGGGAAGGATTAGCACCCCACAAGTGCCCAACAATTGTTACTTAGTTGATCACCTTATATTTAAAATTGAAAATTTTGAGTTTGATCTTTGTTTAATTTAAAAATCATTAAGGATGCAAAGTTGAAAAGGGTATTCGTTTATTAAGGCCGATAGCATTCACTCCCGAGCGTAAATACGGAAGATCAACTATTGTGCCTAATAACTGAATATTGCCTCGTTTTTAGAAAATATGATGTGGTTTTGAAAAGAATATTGACTTATTTCGAGAATCACCAGTAGTTACTCCCTGTGCATACTTGCGGGAGATATACCATTAATTCCCTAATAAGTGAACGCTGTCTTAAATTTATAAATAAAATGCAATAAGACAAAATTTTATTCATCCTAATTAAAGTAAAAGTAAATTAAAGCTTTTTCCAGCTTAAAGTGTCAAATTATGAAAATTAAGGAACCTAGGGGCTCAAACCTAAACGTAAGCTCTAATATTAATCCTATTTGATTATGTAAATATTAAAGTTGTAATTAAGCTTGGGGACTAAATAGTCAAAGGATTAAACTATGACTATGAGACCTAAATATAAAATCCTAAAACTTAAGGATCTAAATTGCATAAAATAAAATAACAATTACTAAAATGTAAGAAATAAAAGTTAGTAGTTAAATAGGAAATAAATAGTGACCAAAATGCAAAAATTAAAATAACAGTAGCTAAATTATGACAAATAAAATAGCAAAAATAATGACCAAATCGAAAGCTATTAAAATCCATATGCATATTTGAAATACATAAAAAAATGTATGACCAGAGTGCAAAAGACACTAAAATACGGGGATCTTAAAGATGATTTTACCCTTATAATGACCAAAACGTAAAACACGCTGAAACTAGAAGGACTTTGAATGCAATTTGACCATAAATTAGGCGAACAAAGCATAAATATCCTATAAACCATGGACATGATGCATGATTTACCCCTTTTTAATAGAAACATAATATATTCCTCTGTTTCATGTGAACAAGCCGAGAAAACTGCAAGATTCAACAAACTCTCTTGGCCGCAGCACGCCGGCCCCCACACACCGACCATCGGGCCGGTGACTAACTTACACCCACCGGTGACCTTTACCCCGACCAAAGGGAACTCGAACAACAGCTTAAACGGGCAAGAACCTTTCCCGTTATCTTCCTATTTCACTCTTTCTCCTCCTTTTCTCCTCCCCATTCGACGGCAGTAAGGGCTCAAAACTGAGCATCAACGACGACCACAACACCTTGGTGACTCAACGTAGAAGATTGAACTCCGACCGAAGTCTGAACTGACCAACGAAAGCCACCCAAGAACCCCCGAAAAACAAAAAAAAACAATGACAAAGGAAAAAAGAAAGCAAAAAATAGAGCCAAGATGGAGAGAAAAAAACTTTCTTATTTTATTCCTCAATTTTCGGGATAGGCCCCCCTTTTATAATGGTTGGTTGGGGTTTTTATAACCCCTATTTTACATAACTTTTACATAAAAAATAGCAACTTGCAATGTGACGATGCTTTGGATTAATCTCACATGCACTTATTCCTTTTGGCAGTTGGCAGTGGCAGGAAACATGGGATGGTGGCAGCGGGTGTGCATGATATGGCGGGGTAAGCTCTTTTGACTTTTAATTTCGCTTAGTTGAAAATTGGTTATTATAGCGTGTCACATCGTCCTTGTTGTTCTCTGAGGGCTCTTCACCCATGCATGCAAGTTTTGTAGTTAGAATTTACTATTGTCGCCAAAATAATCATGTATGTGGAGGAAGATTTTAGGAGAGTATTGGGAAATGATGTTAGTTATTTTGCCTTTAAGGGTGTATTTCAACATATTCTTTGATAAGAGGTATTCTACACTCATCACACTAATTATTGATTATGACAAAAGTGTTGTGATGGTTATATGCGGTTTATCCCTTCTGATTTGGGCAAAGAGTCGTAGCTGGTGTCAAAATATCATGTTTCCATTAAGAGGTAGAAAAGAGAGGAATGAGAGTGAGGTAGTTCCATCCATCCTCTCTATCTTTGCTCAAGAGATTTTATGGTAAACCTTAATGCAAGTATCAAACGCAAGGTTATTATGGAGACATGTAGGTTAGAATGTTAAATAGATATAATCAGTTGACAAATAAATTTGGTTGTAATAAGTCACAAGGGTCTATCAGAAGTCATATAAAAAGGTCGTTGTTTCTCAAGGTATAAGACTCCGAAAGCTCTTTCTTCATAGATATTTTTTTGAGACTTTAATTTTTCTAAGACTTTAAGTGTGAGAAACACAAAAGTGGTATTTAGAGAACCTTTGGCGAAGGTATAACATGCATAATCAATCTATTATTTTTATCATATTAGTTTTATATTATATCTAATGGCTAACTTTTTTAGGTCAAATAAATAATTTGATATTGTTTTAATTAATTTATAATTAGAAATGCAAGATTTATTTATATATAAAAAGTTGCAACAAAGGGATTGATACAATGTGTATCTAAGATGCACTAGTATATCGTGGAGACAAGAAGGGATTAGAATCTTTGAATGTCTACCACTGAGCCTTAGCCTAGGCATTTACATAAGCTAATGGAGTCTGATTAACAAACGTCAACATCGGATAAAGAAACAATTGAACATCAATTATGAGCCACGTTACAGAACCTTCAGATCGTTGGCTCTGCTTAATATTCGTACATTTGCCAGGGGGGTCAATCCTGTCCAATCCTTAAAATGAGTGAATACGAACCTTACACGTTAATCAAATGCTGGTCTCTATTAATATAAACAGAAAGCTTTCAATCATTTATGTTTAAATCCATCTGAACATAAGCGTGCATCTTAGACACGCTAATCCTTAAAATTAATATAATTTTGTAATGACATGACATGCAATTACAAGAGAATGAAATCAAAATGGCAAAAAAGAAGAAAACATTAATAACGGTCTTTAAGGAATGGATCGTTGAGATTGAAATCAACCGTGCATGCATGATCATCAATCACCATCGTTGCATTATTAGAAACGGTGGCAAAATCATAAACCCATCATCCCATGTAGTAGTGACAAGAAACTCTCATAAGATTATGTTGCCTATGAATCTATGATGTGAACGACTTCTAATAAAATTGCCAAGTTCACAATGGGCGGCCACCATTTCTAATAAAATTACCAATGATCTCTAGAATAAGGGGTTAAAAATTTACAATTAATACTTCTTATTTTTCCTAGATATCTTGAACCGTGACAGACAAGTGATTTGGTTTAGAAGCGCGCCCCCAACCCTTGAAATTATAATAAATTTGTGTAATTAAAAAATATGTACTTAAATTATACATATTGTTTATTTTAGGTGTTTAAATTTATTTTATCAAATTAGGTGTCTAATATTTTTTTCGTTATAATTAAGGCCACTTATCGCTAAAAATTTCATCAAACCACTCAAAACATCACACCTAATGCATTTATAAATTTCTAAAAATTTTATTTTAAAAAAACTTAAAATTATTATTTTATTTAAAAAATCTAAATTTCACTAAAAACTAAAATCACTATCTCAACGCATCAATCTATTGTTGATCTTTCCAGCCGTCGTCATTATCATCGGTCGTCTATGCACCTATCATCAAACCCTTACTATTAGTTATTCCTGTTTGCCGTCCCAATTTCCTAAATCACAATATCTAAATCCCTAATATTTTATCGTCGCTCCTTCCCCCCGTATCGTAATCGGATGAATTTTTGAAAGAAGGGAAGGGACAATTGGAGAAAGAAGGGATCATGGATATGTTTATTGATAATTTAGGTGTTCAGGGATTGAGGTAGGGACAAAAGTAATGGGAGGGCGTTGACGACAATTGATGTTTTGGGATTAAAGATTTAGGGCTTTTTGTTGTTGATATTTAGACAAATTTATTTTTAAAATAAATAATATTTCAAACTTTTTAAATAAAAATTTTAAATATTTATAAACATGCGACGTGTCATGTTTGAAGTGACTGATAATTTTTTTAAACATCTATAATAGAATTGACCTTATAATTTTAATAAAAAAGTTAGGCACATAATTTGATAAAAAAAAAAACTTCATATATATATAAAACAGGCTTTTGATTTGGAGCGTATGGAGCAAGTCTTTTAGCATACATTATTGGTGATAAAGCTCACTGCTGAATTACAATTTGTGAATAGAAACGGAACAATCAGGCATTAGTAAATAACTTGAGTCACAAACAGGATTAAACGGAAACGAATAATTATAAAGTAGAATTTGAGACGAGAGAGTGCAAATGTAGAAGAAATAATTTGGAGATACGATGTTGTAAGTTGATGGATATTCCAGGTTTCACTTCAACAACCAACAATTTAGAAATAAAACACACCCTTCCCAAGATTCAGAAATCAAAATCTATCATCCAACAACATCCAATCTCTGTGTTTTCTTTAAACATCAACCAGAACCAAGGGCTTTTCTGCCATCTCGCTTTCTGATTTCTCCTCAATATCGAAACTCATTACCAACTTTGAGATGTCGAATTCATTGGAGTTCCTTCGTTTCCCCATTTCGACTACGTACTTTCTGCTGTTCTCATTCGTTAGTCTCGAAGTTTGTAGAACTCCCATGGACCTCGACTTGCTCAGCTTCACCGTAACTCCTGTCGTTTTTCTCACCCAAACGACGTCGTCTCCATCAACAACATCTATGAGTCCCTTCTTCTTCTTCATCTTCATCATCATCGCCACCTCCGCGAACGAACCCATCGATCTCGATCTCGCCGCACGATCGTCAATCGCTTCGCTGTTGTGATCCACACTCGCCACACTGGATACTTTTCGGCTATTTCTCTTACTTCCGCACCTCGAACTCCTTGCCGCCTCCTCGCTACCTTCAAACACTTGGTTCCTCACCGACAGATTATCCACGCGTTTCACGCGCTGCTTTAAGTTACTCCAAACAAGACCCACATGATGTCTCTTCCTCACTTGCTTCAAACATTCAACCACCTGCTTCATTCCGGGCCGTTTCTCCGCCGTGGACCTGACGCACCTAGCTGCAACTACCGCCAAGCTTCTTATCACCTCCTTATCCCCCGGCTGCCCGATACGGCCGTCGCAAATCGGGGCGAAATCTCCTCCCTTGATCAGAGGGACGGCCCAGTCAACAATCGACGGTGGGCTATAATTCAAGTCAATGGCATATCTCCCGCTAATTATCTCCAATAGCAAAATGCCATAACTGAACACGTCACTCTTAGTGCTGACGTCACTTGGTGCCAAATAACCCGGGTCGAGATACCCTAACGTCCCCGCCGGTGGCGTGCACTTGACCCGTACATCCTCCACGTTTCCCCTTATGCAAGCCCGAAATCACCCAATCGAGCGTTCCAGTTTCGATCAATCAAAACATTGGACGATTTTATATCCCTGTGGATTACCGGCGGATTAGCCGAGTGTAAAGCCTGAACCGCTTTCGCAACCTGCAAAGCGAACCGAACACGCCTGGACCAACCCGGCGGTCTAGAGGAAGAGGAGTGTAAAAGATCGTATAAAGAACCGTTGGGCATATATTCGACGACGATTAGTTTATTCTTGCAAAAGGCATCGGAAGTGTAACCGATGAGATTGACGAGATGAGGATGATAAACCCGTGAGAGAATCTCAATCTCGTTGTCCGCCGGACTGTTACAGTTAGCTTTCGTTCTTTTAACGGCGGCGATTAACTTGCCGCTGTCTAGGACGGCTCTGTAGACGGAACCGTGACTGCCTCTGCCGAGGAGGTTAACGGAAGAGAAATCGTCGGTGGCAGAAAGGAGATCGGTGTAACGAAACCGTCTGATTTGAACGTTGTTCTTGGTGTTTTGTTAGGTTTTTTCCTACGATAATAATCCCAGTTGTAAGGGTCACAAACGGCAATGGCCGACTCTGCATTGCAAGAGAGGCGACCCATCTCCAAACTGAAGAGAAACAAAAAAGGGTTGGGCTTTCCTCAGGTGGGTGTCGGGAGGGAATATGAAAGCGGCAAGGTACGTTGAGAAAACAGAACGAAAATGGAAAACGCCATTAATAGAGAAGAAGGGAGTAGATGGGAAGGCTAAAGGGTGTTAATGTGTGGACTGATTTACACAGCTTCGGAGATGTAAAATAACAGTGAAAGTTAGAAAATTTTGAAAATATATATATATTTTAATGTAATTGGTTATTGTTTCTGCCATGCAACAGTCAGCGCGTGGAACACTATGGGAGGAATTTCTCGGGGGAAGGTTTAAAGTAGGGTCCGTATGTATTATTTCTACTTGATTAAAAAACATTATTTTTTACTTTACTTTTCCTTTTTAATAATTCATTTTGTTTTTATGTTCAAAGAGTTTGTTATTGGTTTTAAGGTTATTATGGTGATTTAATCATGTAAATATCATAAATTTGGATTATAATCCGCATCTTACTAGACAGGATTTAAAGGTTTAAAGAGCTTTTTTTAGGGTAAAGAGTTCATTCAAATGAATAATTTATTAATAAAAAAGTGATGATGATCTAACATTGATTAAAATAAAAATTTGATGTCAATTTTTTATTATTAAAATTTAAATATTTTAATATTAATTAATTTATAAAAATAAAAAAATTATTTTTTAAATAAAATTAATAGTTTAAAATTTAAATTTAAATAATTTTATATTCAATTTATATATTATTTAATTTGAATTAATAAAATAAATATGATTATAAACAATGTTTATATTCCAATGAGGTTGAAAAAAATAAGGTAAAGTATACAAATCGTCTCTGATTATAAGGTGTTGTTTTGTCATATTTTTTACTATTAAAGTTACAAATGTATCTCGACTATAGGGTGTTATTTTATTGAGTCTTTGACTATTAAAAGTTATAATATAGTAACCTGACTATTTATATGTTTGAACTCGTCATTCTCTATTAAAAATTTTGTGGCCATCTAAGCTAAACATTAACTTGTTGAATGAGATATGATCAAATCTGATCACATAATCGTTTGAGTTATATTTTGTAGATATATTCTCCGTCTATGTTATGTCGTCGAGCATGTGCTTGAAACATTATGTCGTCGAGTAAATGCTTGAAAGCAACGGGGATGCTAGTAAACATCATTAAAATATAATTTTATCATATCTTAATTAGTAGGTTAGTGTACAATTCAAACAACCGTCAATTTTTTAACGAAAAATGGCAAGTTTGAAAGATATGAATAATTGAGTAACTATTTTGTAACTTTTAATAATCGAATGACTTAACAAAATAACACTCTATAATTAACGAATAATTTTATAACTTTTAATAACAAAAGAATCGAATTTCAACAAACATTATTATATGATCAAAAGATGATTTATGTACTTAAAAAAGTAACATTGACAATAAGGTTGTTTGTTTTTAAACTTTGGATAATAGGGAAAGGGTTGATTTAGGGAAGCTCTACGGTGTAATATCCTTAATATGGCCCAAAAATGTGTTACTAGTTTTATTATTATTTAAATAAAATCGGTAAAAATTTACTAAACATTATTATTTATATCTAAAACATCACTGTTTTTTAAAATTTTGTAAAATATCCAACAATAACAAATCGATAACGTTTTACTGGTTTTGTTATCAAACCCGATAAATATTTAATAATAACAAAATTAATAAAAATAATAATATTTTGAATAAAATTTTATCAATTTTATTATTTAAATAATAACAAAACCGATAACGTTTTTTAATATATATTAAGGGCTGCACTTAATCTTTTTCTGTTGATTTAATGTCCCTTTTGACTGCGGTGATTCTAAAGGCCAATAATAACCATCGAAATCTGCTGATTGAAACGACTGCTCATACTAACGTTTTCTGCTCGCTTGTTAGCGAATGTGTATAAAAATACAAGACACGTCAATTACTTTGCTCTTATTATCAAAATTGTAAATTAAAAAATATTTAATAATTTCTAATGTTATATATTCTTTTTCATTTTATAAAAATATTACAGTACAAGGTGAAAAACAATTGGATATATCTATTATTATTCGTTTACATGTATTTGTATTTAAATTAATTCTAATAAAATTATTTATTTTTTATACATATTATATGTGATTTAGTAAACTTAGATATTTTTAAATCAAATAAACTCGTTTTCTTTTGTGATATGCATAACTAACATTTTCTATAGATCTAGAGTAAATATAAGATAATATTTATTTAAAAAAATCTTAATACTTTTATAATAAGCTCGTACTCCTACATATATGATATTCAAGCCCGTGATTTAAAAAGATAATACAAATTCTTTAGTTACTGAGATCATTAATTTGTATTACATAATTAATGTTAAATAACATATAAGACCATATAGACATCCTTCACCCGTGTTTTATGTTTTTTTATTAATAATAAATTCTAATAAATTGATATGATTCATCGCCTTTCGGTTGAATCATTTTAATTTATTAATTTAATTGGAAAGAAGTCTGACAATAAACCCATGACCGAGTTAATAAAAAAATGCAATTCGCAATTTTATTTATTTATTTTTTGTTAAGACCGGCCATGTGAAATAACTTTGAATGTTAAAGGAGGTAATGTGCAAACATTAAATTAAAATGCATATAAATTCAACTAAATATACGTGACATGTGACTTTATTAATTAAATTAATATACGGTGATGATCCAATATTATTATTAATTTCATAACTCTAGAAGGATTCAGTCATAAATATATAATATATAGTTGGTGCGACGAAAAAAAATCTTCTTTTGAAAATTATCCGAACTAATTAATTGTGTTAAACCAAAATAATAATTAACCCACTAATCCCTTTCTGAAATTCAAATTTCACTGATACGGTTAATCAAAAGTCGCATTGGGAGTAGTTTACTTTAACAAAGCAAGATCAATTGAAAATTGTCAAATGCGAAAGCTTTGTAAAGAAACTTTTTGACTTCATGGCACTATCTCGAATCAAATAAATTTAAAATTAGATCTAAAAAATCTAACTCATTAAGCAAAAGGAATTAAAAAATCACGTTCTTGAATCAATAGGAGTTTATTTAAGGGTAAACAGTTTGATATCATTTAATTAAGATCTTGAGTTCGAGATTTTATGTATGTAAAAAATCTTTGTTGGGAGATTCACTCACCAAAGTCAGGTATGCGTCCGGGTATTGGTCCCCCCGTCCCCGTCCCCGTTTAAAAAACCCGTACCCATCCCCGCTTAAAAAATCGCGGGGATTTAAACGAAGATCCACATCGGGTAATCTGGGAAAACCGCGGGAAAACGGGTATCCCCGTTTAGCATAAACGGTTATTTAAACGGGTAATTTTCACCGCGGGGATAACCGCGGTGAAAAATACCCGTTTAAATAACCGTTTACCTTATATGGTTATTTTTCACCGCGAGGGTCCCCGTTACCGTTTAAATTTCACACGATGACGAGTTATTTAAAAAATAATGTCATTGTCGGATCTAAATTTACTTGAAACGCCAAACACCACAAATGCATCCAAAATATAAAAACAAAACAATTCAAATAGACAAATATAATGACAATGACAACTTGTCTAATAATAAATGAATCATCAGATCATTTGTGCTACAATTATCAACTGTAACTGTTGATATTTTTCTATCAATGTTCCAATCACATAGAGATTCATACAACACATCAGCAGAACTTCAGCAGTACGAGGACAAGGTACGTATATAAACCTAGTAAATAAGTAATTATAATCAATTTAGTTCTTATATTTAGTACCTAACTAGAAAAGGTAAGTTTAAAGTACCTCATTATTCGGCTTTGCATCTCCCAGTTATCATCGATCAAATGCGATGTGATTGACATGAAACATTTTTTTTTGTTACTTGATGTCCACATATCTGTCGTATGGCAATCTTGCTTCGATTCTTCTCCAATAGACTGAAATAAATACAACATACAAATTAGAAACCAATAATACAAGATACAAATTAGAAACCGATAAACAAATAAACATACGCATTGTTTTTTTCTTCGAAGTCATAAATCTTGAGAATGTCATTTTTAAGGTATTCCTAGATGGAACCTTAATAAAGGTTGAAGACCACCACAAACTTTCGAAACCCATGATGTTCCACCATTACAAGTGGATATTCATGCACTATTACCATCTATGCAATATCTTTCTTGATTTTTCGGGGTCAAAATTTAAGCATGATAGATTTGTTTGTCCATCGTTGTTTTTTTGCCCCATCCCAATCACTTGTTGACGTATCTACAAGTTCGCCTTGGACAACTCTTGAAATGATCATGCAAGTGTCGTGTCCCATTCTTACTATTGCTCCTAATTTTTTCTTGCAATAACGACACTCTGCCTTATCCTCACCGTTAACATTCACCTTCTCAAGTGATTCCTACAACTGAAGTAAGTTTTCGCTTTCTACTATTTGTACCAATATTACTATCATCGATTTGTGTTTGTTCTTCTTCTATGGGTGAAATGGATGGGCCTGGTTATTTGCATCGGAGATGATTGAGTCATGTTATTGCTTTCAGCTTGTGATTGTGCTTGTGCCCGCATTAGAATTATCATCTATGGATCGTTGACCTTCCATTATGCTATGAAACAACCTTCATTAAGAAAAGTAGCTATTAATAATCAAATGGTATAACATTTAGCAGGTGATTTCTATGGTTTGAAGTAGTAATAATTAGATAATTAATTTTTTTTATAATAATCAGATCTAATTGGAAATTAAAGCACTAATTCTATACAAAAGGATTTACTAAACACTGAACTTTAATCAAAAAGTACATGCAGCAGATATACCATCTACACTACTTAATTTCTAAAGGTCAATGGAAACCAATATGATTCAGAGGTACATTTCTCCCTTTGATTGACATGTGCAATCTAAAAGAATAAACATGGATAACATCAAAGCATAACATAGGATTTGATCAAACAGTCACATTCTACATTCATTAGATAATAATGTGCTCAACTATATACAAAAATGGACTTAAGAATGAACTGCACTTGCTGTAAAATTGCAACTCTAGAGCCTGAAACTTACGAGATTGTTTCATAACCTTGAAAATTAAAGAG